GTAAGCCCTCACCCTCCTCAGCTGAGAAATAAGTGGTCCCTTGGTCTCCTTGGACTGTCCTAATGCTGGAAATAAGGCATGGGAAGGAGGTCAGGAGGCAGCAGGGTCTTCCAGAGCTTGACGAACTCAATCCACACAACATTCCACACTGCACCCAGGCTCACCTCTGCCGTAGGACAAGGAGACGAATATCTGAGCATGGCAGGCTCTCCCAAGGGACCCTGATCTCCCCCTGAGTTTTAGCACACTCTGCAGCTCCAGGATGCTTGAGGGTTTGTGGGATAACATGACCCCAGTCCCTCATCCCCCTTTTCCCCCTGGGGACTGTAACCCCTGAACTCTTGACTTGCCAGGTTCGTGACCAGGAAGAAGCGGGAGGTCTGTGCTAACCCTGATGCCAGGTGGGTGAAGGAATATGTGAACAGCCTGGAGCTGCAGTGAGCACTGGAAGCTGAGAAGTCCTGCCAGACCACCTGTGAGAGCTTGGCACAGACCTAGAAATGCTATTGCCAAGCACCAGGACCTGCTGAGCCACCTTGGGACCCTGGAAGTTTGTTTTGCCTTGCAAAGGTGTCATTTATCCACAATAATTCAGCTACACATAGGGCAGCCATGATGCTGAAGACCTCCTGGCCTTGCAGACCCATCTTGGGGTGCCCTGCTGTGTGATGTGGCCAAATTGAGCCCTGCCTTGTGCCTCCACTGATAGAATGGGAGGGGGACTTCATCCCAGAGCTATTTGTGAGTTGGAATTAGGTCTGAGTGCTGTTTTATAAGCCCAGGATGAGTTTTCCCACTGAATTTTGTAACGGTGCAGTAGATGCTGTGAGTAAGATCTGTCCCTAGCTAAGTGGTACCCTAGTTACTTACAGGATGCTTGTTGGGGAACCACAGTGTTCAGCCTTATTCTCAAACTGCTCTTTTCTGCTGGTGCCAATGAATAAAGCTTTTTTCTCTGTGTGTCATCACTGGTTGTTCCCCTCCTGTTTGGAAAATGGGGACCCCACTACAACTATTTTCAGAGATGTAGGGGAAAAACCCAACTTTTCAGCTGGAAGTGCCCCAGCCTTCTTAGGTCTAAAAGCCTTCCCTTCTGCTTGGCTTCCCTGATCTCAGCACCACAGCAGCAGCAGCCCCAGCACCTCCCAGCAGCTCCCAGTCCCTGCGCTGATGTGGAGCCAGAACTTCTCCCCAGCCCTTTCCCGCATCATATCATAGCCAAGGCTGGGAGCTAGTGGGGCTTTGCCACTGCAGATTTGGCAAAGGAATGCCTGGAAATCTCAGGGTGGGAATTCAGGCGTGTCCCTATGGTGAGAGAAAAGGGGGATGGTCAGGACTACATCCCTGGCACAGGCTCCTCTGGAATGCAGCCTGAGCCAGGCTTAGCTCTTGGGATGCTCTGTTAGTGTTTATTGCAAGACAAGCACCAATTCACTGTTGTTCCGCAGCTTCCTGCGGCAGGAAACAAGACTTCTGTTTAAAAAAGCACAAAGTAAAACCAACAAAGTACTTTATCACCCTGCGGTTGACATTTAAAACTGGCTGATAACTTTGCGGGTAGAAAACGAGACTGCTGGTCCCACCTCCCTGCTGGAGCTCTACAGGGGATGGGAACAATTGAGGCTGTGTCTGTCAGACCTGCTTATTAGGGCCAAGAAAACCAGTGTGAGACAAACTGTCCCAAGCCCCATTGGTGCCACAGTGGTCTGCAGATGCTCAGGTTGTCTCCTGACCTCCCCTTGCTCATCATCACCTCTGCCCAGGGCAGGGGTGGAGTCTCCCTCCCTGGAGGCATTTAACAGATGCGTGGATGTGGCACTTGGGGACATGGGTTAGGGGTGGTCTTGGCAGTGCTGGGGGAATGGCTGGAGCCACCATCCTAGAGGTCACTTCCAACCTTAGTGATTCTATGGTTCTGGCTGGGGAGGAGAGCAGGATTGGGAAAGAAAAGCAGAAACAAGGAAAGAAACAAGGCTCAAGCAGAGTGATCTTCAAGTTGCCATCAGGGCTTGGGCAGATATACAGACCATGTTTGTGCTTAGCCTGATCCATCCAGCTTCCACTTGCCACAGGGTAGCACCAGTGATGGGATGTATAAATGGGTGGGTTTAGGAGAAAGGATTCTTGGATGAAGTGGCCAATGTAGGTTGAAAAGACAGAAATTGAAGAGGCTGAGGTGTGAGGCCAAGATCAAACCTTCAGTTCTCCAGAAGTGGCAGTGAGAGGCCATGTCAGGATGTTCATTATGGGGTTAGGAGCAGTGACCAGCAGGGAGACAATGTGGACACTGGGACTGAGGGTCTCCATGGCACCTCTCTCCTCCCAGGGCTTCTTCAAGTGAAGCTGGGAGAGAGGGAACAGCCACAGGGTTCATGCTCTCAAAAAGACCCGAGAAAACCAGGCTATCCAGTGTTTTGCCCATGGAACCATGAAGATCTTCTGATCTCCTGACACTTTCTGCCACTGCAGGCAGGGAAGGAAATATTCCCTATGTCCAGCAACTGGAAACGGAAACCAGAAAGGCTTGAGAGGGAAATTCCCACAAGTGCCTGGGCACACAGCCAGGGACTGTCCTGAGGGGAGGTAGTTGCAGCACTGGATGATCCAGTTTCACCAGCCTGTCCCTGCATCCTGGGCTTGCGATAAACCCCAGTACTCCCCTCGACTTTCCTTTCTCCAAAGCATCCATCTTCCATCACCTCTCAGCTCAGAGTCCCAGAGCAGGGACAATTTGGGGCTCCCCTAGTTCCTCTGCAGTGCCAAACTTAGGGTTAGGATGTCCTCAGGGGCAGAGGAGACATCCAGCACCCAATTCTTGGGATCTTCACCTGCTTCTGTACATCCACCGACCACTCTGCTCCATGGTTTCACAGCACAGTGAGGTGGCAACACTCAGGATACACCCCCTGCAGATTTTCATCTCTCCATGTATGGCCCCAGCACCATCTCCTGGGACACAGAATGGTGCTGGGCTGGGCTGCCCTTGGCTGGGATGCTGCTCCTTGGTGTTTATGACCTTTTTGACTACAGCCAGTTTTCTTGCCCAGAAAACACAAGACTAGAGAGAAATCACAAGACAATACAGAAGTGCTTTCCTAGCCTCAGAGTTGCCAAATCTGACCTATAGCTGCCAGGGACAAAAAAAACAAAAAAACACAAGAGAAAGCTTTTTTTTGCTTTAGGAAGAGCAGCACATGGGCAAAGCTAGGCCAGCTCTGGACTATGGTGTGGGGGCACTTGAAGGGGGTCTGTAAGTGTCTTGGTTTGGAAAGACAGGTGTTTGCTAAGGAAGGCAGGAGCCTCCCCTAAAATGGAAAATGCAACCCCCCTCCCTCCAAATTATTAGAAATTTGAAATTAAGGGGTCTCTCAGGCAAAAAAAAAAAAAAAAAAAAAAAAAAAAAAAAAAAAAAAAGGGAGCAGGAAAGCAGGAATCACAGTTTTTTTACTAGGGAAGAAAATAAAAAGATAAAATAAACAATGCAGTAAATTAAAACAACACTGACAGAGTCAGAACACAACCTGACACCCTGTTGGTCAGGGTGTTGGTAGCATCCAATTGGAATGGTGGCTGCACTCCTCCTGGAGTGTCAGGTGTGGTTCTGTTGGAGCAGGGGTCCTTTAGAAAGGTGTAGTCTTCCTCTGAAGATCCAGTGCAAGAGGCAGCTGTTCCTCTGGGAAATCCAGTGGAGAAGCCATTCTGGTGTTCCAGAATCTCAGATTATATCCAGGAAGGAATGTTTGACTCCTCCCTCTGGAGTATCTCCCAGTGGGATGCTGTAGTTCTTATCAGCCATGCAGTGACATTCAGTAGCCTGTTACCAGCAGATGTCTCCCTGGAGGGGAGAGTGGGTGTGGAAGAGATAAGGAAATCTGCCCACTGAACAGAAGACGACTGTCATATAGATGGCAAATAGAATACAATTTGCTTGACAATAGAGGACAGCAAGAAAGATGGGAACAAAAGTTTTAGCAGGGCCTATCGGTGTAGATCAAAAGGGAATGGTATTACACTGAAGGAGGTCAGTTTAGAATGGACATTGGGAAGAAATTCTTCCTGTAAGGGGGTGAGGCCCTGGCACAGGTTGCCCAAAGATGCTGTGGCTGCCCCAGCTCTGGAAGTGTCCAAGGCTAGGACAGGGTCCAGTAGAAGGTGCCCCTGCCCACAGCAGGGGTGGAATGAGATAAGCTTTAAATTCCTGTACAACCCAAATCCTTTTTGGATTTCTTCACAGAGTGCAGATGTCAAAGAACCCTGAGCATGACCTCCATGGACAAGGTGTTCCCAGCACTGCGCCTTTGGGACCTGCTCCTTCCCATTAATATTCCCATGGAAAGCTGCATCCTGAGAACAACTGCAGCAGGTTTTTTTCCAGCAAGAGCTGGACCTTTCCCTTTGTTCTACGGGTGGGAAAGTGAGGAACAACCCCCACTGGGGTGGTCAGAATGAAAGATGGGGTCCCTGTCCCTCTCCAGCACTGCTGGTCTCAACATGACATCGCACACCCAAGGATCAGTTTGATGTGGGGTGTGTGGGACTGGGAGCAGCAAATGTGTGGGATGTGCCTGGGAGTATTGAGAGCAGACTCATGAATGTAAAAGTCCCCCATGTGTGTACAAACACTTCTAATTCTGTAGAGGATGTGGGGACTGGCGGGTGTGTGCTGTGGGGGAATGAGGTTTTGGAGGATGTTTCTGAGTCTGCAGTATGGAAACTTTATGGGTTTGCCTCAAAGCATTTTCCATCTTCATGTCTCCTATAGAGGCTCAGATGGCTCAGAGGGATGTTCTGTGTGTGCTGGTGAGCACCACACAGAGGCACATAAATGGGAAAAAAGCAAAGGTTTTCTCCAAATTCTTTATTCTCCAGAATGAAGAGTTGACACGTATAAACCAGGGTCCCCCGTCATCCAACACTGAGTCACCCTTCTAGAAATACCCTCCCTGTCACCCCCCTATAAATAATATCATCATCCACCAAAAAAAAAAAAAAAAAAAAGACTGACTGTCCCATATGATAATTTCTTAAATAACTTCAAATAATCCAAGGTGCAGTCCCATGGGCCTACACCCATGGGACAGAGGGATGGGGCAGAGGGATGAGGCAGAAGCCTAGTCTGTGCAAGTCAAGGATGAGCAGCAGCCATGAACACAAGCTGCCCTTCCAGCAGTCCTTTGGGGACACCTGCAGATGCTCCTGTGGCTCCTGTTGTCCCAGGGTCCCACTCCACGGAGGGAGCTCAGGATAACGTGACTTGTCCATGACAGCAGCTACTCTTGTCACACTGCATGGCTCAGTTCTGCTCCAAAATTTTCAGGTAGCTTTGGACCCAGGTGTTTTCAGGATTGGCACAGACCTGGCGGCCTTCCTTTGTGACAAACCTGTGGAACGGGGATGGGACCTGTTAGATCTCTGCTCACACCTGCTTCCCAGGAGAGCCTGGATCCCAGCTCTTAGCATTGCAAGAAGTTTTCCCGTGTGCAGATGCGGAAAGCAGCAGCTGGCTGTGATGCTCCCCACTCCCATCCCTTCCCCTACACTGCTTCCTCCACTCCTGCAGGGGCATCCCTGGAATCCCCACACGAGCATCCCCAGCAATCCCTGTGCAAGCCCTTTCTCCTTGGTATTCCCCTCTCCCTGCTCTGTTCCTACAGCCCCCTTGCTGTGCAGAGCTGGTCACTGGCCCACCCCCCACCACGGCTGGCCCTGCCCTGTCCCACGCGCTGGCACTCACACGATGGCTGGCTGAGGACAGCTGCTGCTGGTGCTGTAATGACGCTGGATGAGCTTCCATGGGAGTTTGTGCCGGCTATATGTGACACAGCAGATTGGGATGTTGGGTCCAGCTAGAAGAGGAAAAGGAAAACAATGTGAGCAGTGGGGTGCTGGCAGGGAAGGCAGTGAGAAAGTAGAGAATAATTAAGGTTGAAATGGACATTGGGGATCATCTGGTCCAATACCCCAAGCAGTATCAAGGTACTGTGAGATTCTCACTCTGCCACTGCTCAGAGCTTCACTTCCTCCACTCCTCCAGCCCCAGAACAGAGGTGGAAGTCTCTCAACTCTAACCAGGAATAAGTACTTCGAGCCCAGGCTGGATGGGTGGGTGGATGGATGCATGGAGGATGGATGGATGGATGGATGGATGGATGGATGGATGGATGGATGGATGGATAAATGGATGGATAAATGGATGATTTTCTGATTCCAGGGCTCCTATGTGCAGCTGACCTCTGGGCAGAGTGGAGAATGGCACAAAATGGATGGATAAATGGATGGATAAATGGATGGATAAATGGATGGATAAATGGATGGATAAATAGATGATTTTCTGATTCCAGGGCTCCTACGTGTAGCTGATCTCCGGGCAGAGTGGAGAATGGCACAAATGCTGATAAATTCCCAGTTATCTGTCATGGGAGCTCAATGGAGAAATAGTATGGAAGGTTCAGATCTGTTCTCCCTTCACAAATGAAAAAGCAGGACTCACCTGGGCCACAGAAAGTTTGGGAAAAGGAGGCTGAAATGAGGAGGAGAGCCAATCCAGCTGCAGAGGCCTTCATCTTTCAGTCAGGTGAGGGCGGTCAGAGCAGGAGCAGAAGCTCTGGAAGATGCAGCTCAGTGTGCAACAGCTGGATTCAGCCCTCTTTTAAAAGGGAGTCCTAGAGGCAGCTGGGAGTAGCCGAAATGGAAATTCCAAGATGATGATAAAGGATGACATGAAAGTGAAATAGCTGAAGGGAATTAGAGGGAACAGAAAAAAAATAGGTAGAATGGAATATGGTCCCTCACAATGCCAAGTGACTCAGCATTCATTTTTGCTTTATTCAAATCAAAAGGAAACTAAAACGTGCCAAGTGGCCTGGCCACAAAAAGGACAATGGTCCCGCTGGACTCCAGAGGGGGATTTCCCTATGAGGCTGTGTAGGGAAAGGCAATGTTTGTGTAGGATTATGCAGCTCTGGAAAAAACCCCAACAGGCAGCACAGAAGTGCTCTCGTGCCATTGTGTGCTAGATGTTTGCCAGAGACTGCTCAGCTGCTGCCCCGGAGCTCAGGGAGAGCTGCACTGCGGGCTCTGTGCCACCCAAAACACCCAGCCTGCCCTCCCCACACCCACAGGGCTGGCAAGGAGCTGAGGCTGGAATTCATCCAGCCCAGTCCCTGGAGATGCTGCCCAGGACCATGTCCAGGTGGGCTGTGAGACTCCACAGCCTGTCTGGACAGCCTGTTTCAGAGTGCAATAACGTTTTATCTGGTGTTTAAATACAATTTCTTGTTGCCTCTTCTCCTGTTAGTGGTCACCACTGAGAGTTGGGCTGCATCTACTTTGCTCCACAAACATTGGTAAGAATCCTCCGAGCCCTCTCCATCCTGAACTGTACCAGCATCTCCTCCCTGGAGAAATGTTCCTATCTCTTCATCATCTCTATGGCCCTTTGCTGGACTGTCTCAGTATGTCCATACATCTCTAATCCTGGGGAGCTCAGAACTGGACCCAGCACTTGAGGAACAGCCTCCCCAGTGCTGAGCAGAGGGGAAGGGTCCCCTCCTTCAACTTGCTGTCAATATTCCTCCTCATGCAGCCCAAGAGCCTGATGGAATTTTGGTGGCAAGGGCCCATTGCTGCTCATGTCCAGTCTGGTGTCCACCAGGAGCTCCATCCAGGTCCTTTTTTGCCAAACTGCTTTCCAGCTGGTCAGCACTGCCATATACTGGTGGCTGGGGATGTTCCTTCACAGGGTCAGGACTTTGCACTTCTTTTTGAGCTTCGTGAGGTTCTCCATCCTGATGAGGTCTCCGCAGATTTCACACAGGCCAAAAGTGATAAGACAAGGGGGAACAGCTTTAAAGTAAAAAAAAAAAAAAAAATAATAAAAAAAAAAAAATTAAATATCAGCAAGAAATTCTTCTCTGTGAGGGTAGTGGGGTAGTGAGGTCCTGGAGCACCTTCCAGGGGGAAGCTGTGGCTGCCCCCTCCCTGGAAGTGTCCAGGTTGAACAGGGCTTGGAGCAGCCTGGGATAGTGGAAGGTGTCCCTGTCCATGGCAGGGGGGACAGACCTGGGGAGGGGGGGTTAAGGTCTCTTTGATCCCAATACATTCCATGATTCTATGATGGCAGCATGTCCCTTTAATGTGACAAGCCATCCTCCCAACTTTGTGTCACCTGCCAGCTCGCTGAGGGTGACCTTTGTCCTATCAGCCAGGACATCAACATATTAAGGACTACCCACTATCGATCCCTGGGTTTCCCTGCTGCTAACTGGCCTCTAGCAGGACTTTGTGCAAGAGATCACAACCCTCCAAGCAGGGTGTCGAGCCCATTCTCAGCCTCTCTCACTGCTGTTTCATTAATCCACCCTTCACCACTTTGCCCTTAGCAGTCACAGGCATCCCAAAGGGCAGGACTTCACCTGGGAGCAGGCCTTTCACTAGTAGAAGGGGTTTGCCACACCTGAGACATTTTGCCAGCCTCAGCCACTCCCTCCAAGAGATGCCTTGGGTAGAAGATGGATTTTCTGGCTAAAGAGGTGAGATGAAAGTGAGGGACAACCTGCCTGACGTGGGAGACACCAAGGCTCAGCAGGCCAACAGCTCAGGGCAGCTCCTTGGGGAGCAGGAAGAGGGATGACCTGGGCTTCCTGATGTCCTGTCACATTCTGGACACGCAGTCAAAGACCCCTTCACTGCAGAGAGGCTGCTCAGGCCCCTGGTTGTGTTCCTGAGCCTGGATTTTTCTCTCCCAGAATTCTAAACCCCCTGTTTGGCTACCCTGGAGCTGCAGATGTGAGCAATGTCAATGACAGCAATGGCACTGTTCTTCACCAGCTGGCTGGCCCCGGCAGGGACTGAAATGAGAAGGTTGGAGGCTCCTTAGATTGGTCTGCCCCTTCCCACACTTATTCTATGGGGAGGGTTTGTTTTGCATTCCTCCTTTCCCTTATGGTCTTGTCCTGCCTTACATCCCTGGTGCTGCCAGCTGTGGCACATCCTCATCTGGGCAGAGACCTCACCAGTGTCCAAGGGTGTGCTTTTAGAGGGACCAAAGTCTCTGTAAGTCCTGACAAGGATATCAGGGAAGGTGGTGGATTTTGCCAGAAGCAAGTCTGGCAGGATCAGCTCTTTGTTCCCTTGGTAAGTCTGATCAGCTCAGCGCAGAACAAGAAGTGGCTCCAGCTTGCGGCTGAATTGCTGCTGAAAAAAACCCAAATGATGGCTTTTTGTCACGGAAATAATTCATTCAGAAACCAACAGTGGGAGTTTTATGTTCCTCTGTTCTTGTAACTCACATTCGAGGGTGACAAACGCCAGCGCTGAATGGAGCAGTGACAACGGCTTTGGCTGCAGAAAGGCACCCTGTGGCTGGCACCAGCAGGTGACAGCTTTGCTCATGGGAACTTCGCACCTTCTGCTCGCCAGCTGCTGCCTGCAAGGCACAAACCACGAGGCTGATCATGTGCATGGGGCACAGGGGGATGTGGGGAGGTGTGGTGGCTGTGATGGGAGCTGCAGCTCTGTCTTTCACCTGGAAGCTCTGAGATGGTCAGTGTGAGGAAAGAAAGCACAGCTGAATGTGAGGAGGAGGAGGAGGAGGAGGAGGAGGAGGAGGAGGAGGAGGTGCTGCAAAAAAGCTGCTGCAGCTGCAGCCCCTTGGTTCAAATGTCACCAGTGGGTGCCCTCAGAGCTGCTTTGTCGGCTGGAACGTTGCTTCCCCCAGAATGCCGGGAAGCCCCCCGGGCAAGGGGGACAGCTCCTCCCGTCACAGACCCGCGGGCTCCCGCTCTGAGTCACCGCCGGCCGCTCCTGAGCTCCGAGCCCCTTGCGGACCTCTGGGCCCGGTTTCTGGTTTCGGTTTTCTGCTTCTGTCCACTGGTTTTCGCTTCTCTGGCAAATCCCAGAGCTCTCTGCTATTGCAGTTCCTGCAGTTCAAGTGTTTATTAGCTGACCCCTCCCAAGCTTCCTTTATTGTTCCTGGAAAAAAGCCATTCTTTACCACTTTGGCCTCACTCGACTGGGGTATGAGGTTTGTTTTGGTGCAGGCAGGGTAGAAATAGAAAGCTACAATTACTCAAAGGAGAAGCATGTAGGAAATGTTGTTATGGGGCTGCTGAGTCTTCACCCCTGGGACATAAACAGTGACAAGGATTAGCCCAGAAGCTTTCAAACTCCTTCAAGCTCCCCTGAAATCCTCCCCTTGCCTGGAGACGCAGGTCACAAAGCCAAGAACCCAGGGCAGGGGAATGGGGGTACTTTGCTCATGGGTGATGGTGAGGGCTCTCCCCAGGCTGGTGGGGGACTTTGTCAGTGTCCCCCTGGGGCACAGCTCACCTGTGGGGGCTGCACTATCCCAGCCTTGGCACTGAAGGACCTTGGAGCACAGGAAGGATTATTATTCCATCCCTGTTACTTCCTGTAGCCTTCTCTCCTCTTTCCGTAGGTCCACAAGTGGATGCAAGCTCTGGGGAGTGGGATGATCCATTTGGGAGATGCTGGTGACTTCACCTGGGGCAGAGGTGAGGTGCTTTGGGGGTCAAAGGACTGTCCCTCAGGTGATCCCTGACTGAGCGCAGGTCCCTCTACTCTCACTCACAAACTGACCCCACCAAGTCCCAACGTGTGGCTGCACACCCCTGCATGGTCCCCATGGGATGCAGGAAGCCTGGGGCTATGGAGGGATGGGGATGCTGTGGCTGTGGAGGGATGCAGGAAGAGCCATGGGGGTTGTGGAAGGACGCAGGGGCCCACAGGGGGAGGCTGCAGGGCCATGAAGGGATGCAGGAGAGGCTGTGGAGCTGCGGCACAATCAGTGAGCAGTGCCAAAGCTCCCCGAGCCCTCCCCTCTCTCCCAGGGGATGTGGGTGCCAGGCACAGCCCGTGCTAGCTGGGGCAGCCAGACAATATCCCCTTTGAAGGGCACAACCCATCTGGGGTGGAAAAACCCTCGACGTTATGGGGGACAGGAGCTGCACTTCAGAGAAACACTGCTGAGCACCCCGACCTCCAAACAGCCCCACACACGGGAAGTGGTTTTACAGCTTTGAATAAATCATGAGGCCAGTAAACAGCAGTGCATGAGCATGGCTGTTCGCTGGCAGCTGCAGAGCTCACACCTCACTGTGGGACTGGGGCTCACACCTCCCGTGGGGCCCCGACCTCCCCACAGTGATACAGCCCTGCCAGGACCTTGCAGAGGGGGGCCAGCACTGGGCAAGGGAGTCCAGGGGGCCATCAGTCCCCATCCCTAGAGGGGTTTAACAGATGTGTGGATGTGGCACTTGGGGACTTGCATTAGTGGTGGCTCTGGTAACGCTTGGAGGATGGTTGGACTCAATGACCTCAGAGGGCTTTTTCAGCTTTAATGATTCCATGATTATATGATTAGGGATGTCCTCCAGGTGTGGCAATAGCCCAGACACAAGTTTGAAGGTTATCCCTGCTCTCGGGGAGGTTGTGGTTCTAAGCTGTGGGGATCAGCCAGAAATCCTGTGCTCCCTGAGGCCATCTCCACCCAAAAAATGCCTAGAACATGCACAGCAGGAGCACCAATGAAAATGAAAACTATTTGTGTCTTGTTTATTTTTGTTTTTTCTTGACTATAACAAGCAGGCAAGGCCCACTGAGTTCATTAAAAGTGGGTTTGGTATTCACAGAATTGTAGAATCAAAGAGTGGTTTGAGTTGGAAAGGACCTTAAA